AGAGGATAATATTTACTGCCTTGGTCATCAGAGATGTGCAGTTGTAGCATCAGGGGGATAAAAATGAACAGTTCATAAAGGGAACCGTACATCTCTAGGGAAAATAAGCTATTTGTCAGAGATAATCCGAAAGCTTCCTATGACCCGTAGAAGGAAAGGGAGCCTCTTCTTGGTTCCCAAATTCACCAAAAGCAAAAGTATTGGAAGAAGTAAAGCTTGCCTTTTGGCTCACGCCAAACTCCATGCAACTCCGCCGAGGTTGCAACCCCCTCTAGTGGGATGACACTGTCTTTGCATGGAGTATTTTGTCAGACACAACAGCATGAATTTATTCAGTTTGACTTCCCTTCCCCATGTCTTTTCACTTGCTAAAACTCCCCCTCTGCAGTGTGTGCATGTTTTCATTGAAGGATTTTTTTTTTTTTTTGTTCATTGAAATAGCCTCAGAAGAATGCAAGGTTTCCAGAGAGGGGAGGTTTTATGCAAAATATTTAACACTGATTTATACACAGACAGAGACTGCTGTCAGTTTGGGGAGGGCACATATTTTATCTTCTAATATCAAAGCAAGTGAGGACATAGATGCCAGCTTGCAAGTAAGAAGGCTTTTTTTCTCCCCAAAGAGACCTCCTCCAAAACATCCAATGTCAAGCTCACATTGCCACCTAGAAAAACCTACTATTCCCCTGTCCCCTTTTCTCCTCCTTCCTCACCCTGGTTCTTCCTTCTATTAAAAGTAGTTCAGGATTGGAGACAGTCCACCCCCCTGCTTTACCTCCAAGTCTTCTAAACCTGTTCCTGCAAAAGCACTTTGCAGCATGGCTAAGGCAAACATCAGGTAACTACTAGGACAGTAAAACAACACTTTTTTTACAGCACAGTTGTCATGGATGGAGTGAGACTGCACTTCACTTGTGAGAGAGAAGCAACAATACACTTTAGTGATATAAAGTGTGAGTTAACAAAGTTCAATGGTAAATGTGACAGTGGTTTAACAAGATTCGATGGCAAGGTACACTTGATTATTTACTGGCAAGGAATCTCTCAACCTCGAGGAGTAACCTTGAGAGGTGTCCCTACTCAAGGGGAGATCCTGGTGTGCAGCCTGCTGCCATGCAGGAGAGCTCAACGGGCCCTGGGCTCCCCACTGTTTATAGAGTAAGATGGTTGACTTATAGTCATATGCATATCAGCAAGTCATTTGACTCACTGCTCCAGGCAGCCCTTGGCGACTGT